GAGAGAGAGAGAGAGAGAGAGAGAGAGAGAAACATCGATGTGAGAGAGACACAATGATTGTTTGCCTTCTGCACGCACCCCTGCCGGGGCTGGGGATCAGGCCTGCAACCAAGGTACATGCCCTTGGCCCAAATAGAATCCAGGACTTTCAGTCCGCCAACTGATGCTCTAATCACTGAGCAAAACCCTCTAGGGCTATAGGGATACCTTTTAAAATTCTATTCTTAGGTAGCTAGTTTGTCCAAATTCAAGAAAGCCTACATTCACCCTTCATTCCATCTCTCTAGTCCAGGAGTCAACAAACTTGTTTCTGTAAAGGTAAAGATAGCAAGTATTTTAGGTTTTGTGCGCCATACTGTCTCTGTCACAGAGTCAACTCTGCTGTTGTTGTGGGAAATCAGCCATAGCTAATGCATAAACTAACGGGCATGGCTATGTTCCAATAAAACTTTACAAAAATAGGAAGCAGATAGGATTTGGCCTTCAGATTATAGTTTACAGACCCTTCATCTAAGCTATAGAAATATTTTTGTCTAAAATATTTGGCTATTTAACATCAAAGTCTTCTTTCTTAGCTGCTTATCCTCTGAAACTTTGTGTTCTAATCTGTATCTATAAAAAGAAAAAAATGCATGGTAAGAAGAAAGAAGAAACCTGTGGCCCCTGTCTTCCTTCAAGTTGATATTTATTATTATGCATTCTTTGGCTCTACTGATCTAACTAGGTGTTAATCCACATTATCTCATCCATTTCATGCTTCCCCATCTTTCCCACAAAGATACCATGTGAAACTATGTCCATTGGCCTCGTCTGTCCTAGTTGTATTTTTAAAAGATCCAGATAATTCTTGTGTGCAGCCGAGACTGAAAACCACTGAAATGCATGTAAGACCTGAAATGTTTGGGAAGAGGGGAGATTCAAAGATGCATGAATTCAGGGGAGAGGAAGAAGGGGGAGAATGAAAAAGCAGGCAGAGAACGATACCATGAGGGGTTTTGTGCCATGGTAAGAAATTTGGGTTGATTCTTTTGAACTATGGAATGTTGTTGAAGTTTTAAGTATGGAATCTATTTTATGTTTTAGGATAATGACTTGTAGCAGAGTGAAAGAATAATGTAAGTGGGAAATAGGAAAAGGGGAAACAGGGCCTTTCATCTGGTGTTTCTTAAATCATCTGTGCGAGAGAACCAGCCCTCCCTTCCTTCCTCCCTTCCTCCATTTCTTTTCGTCTTTAATTACTAATCCATCGCATGCCTAGATGTCATGGAAATATTAAATGATTTTAAAAGTTTATAAACATTTATTCTCTCAGCTGTCGTACTCATCTCAGAATGGAAAGAAACCATTTGCTGACTTGCACTGATTCATGGACCATACTTCACGTAGCACTGCTTTACCCTCATATCTTTACTCTCCTTTAAACTCTAACTACAGGGTAAAGTTTAAACTTCAGTACAGTATAGAGGGTCTCTCATGGTCTGGCTTCTGCTTTCCTCTCCTTTCCCACATCCTCCCCTTTCTCCAACCAGCACTACTACTCTCATTTCCTTCAACATGTCTTCATGCCCCGAAAATGCCGTGTCTTTCCCAGCCTCCTTCCACCTTCAGGCTCTGCCATCCATCTTTCTTTTCTTCTTGACCAATTTCTGCTTCTCTTCCAAGACACAGCTCTATTGTCCCCTCCTCTTTAAAGCCATTTCTGAATCTCCTCCCTATACTGTCACATAACTTTTTGGTGACACTTACAGACCTTATCACTCTGTTATGTAATTATTGATAACATGGCTCCCTCACTGTCCCATGACTGTGGGGTCCTTGAGGACCAGTGACTTGTTCATGTCAGAATTGTCCGAATGTAGGACATAGTAGTTGTTCAATAGATGTGCACTCAATGAATGCTGAATGAAACAACAGTTGCACTTTGTGCTCATGTAGGTGAGAAATGGTTTGGGGACTTTGGTAGATCTGTCTATTTCAGTCACTCCACATATATTTATTACATGCTTATAAGGCTCTGTGCTAGCTAAATGCGGGGAGGTTTAACTGAGATATCCCTGCTCTACATAAAGGAAGATATTTGGCAAAGAAGATGTGAACTGTTGTATTTGGAGGCATAAAAATCACATGGCCCAAAGGACTTCTTTACATTAGCATTTTCTTGAGCATATTTTCCATTTTTAACAGTGTTTATTATCTTTAATTTGCAGTTGAACACAATTCTAAGTACAATGAGCACCATCTACAGTACTGGAAAAGTTTGTAACCCAAATAATCCACAGGAGTGCTTAGCACTTGAACCAGGTAAGCTAGTAATTTTGAGCAGTGATTATGAAATTCACTTTTTTATTCCAAGTTTTAAAAATGAAACTGATGTTAGATAATGACATTGTGCCTTCCAAATGGATAATCGAAAGGCGAGAAGATTCCAAATATGCGTGTTTCAGCACAAAGATGAACTTTTAACATTTAACAAAAATCACATTTGTAAAGTGTGTCACATTCAAGTAGTTCAATTAAGTTAGTAGTTAAGTGATGTCAGTGGTTTATTTTCTCTGAAAAATATTTTGGAACTATAATAAGGGTGAGGAAATTAATGAATCATGAGATTTCATTTTATAACCTTATGAGCTTGATGTCTGCCAGCCTTACTTTTAATTCTTGAAAGTTCATGTAATTGTTTACAAATAAAAATTTAAAAATGCATGTTTATTTACCTTTGGGTGCTTTGCAATAACAGGCTTGGATGACATAATGCAAAATAGCAAGGATTACAATCAAAGGCTCTGGGCTTGGGAAGGCTGGAGGTCTGAGGTCGGCAAGCAGCTGAGGCCATTATATGAAGAGTATGTGGCCCTGAAAAATGAGATGGCAAGAGGAAACAGTAAGTTTTTTGGTCTGTAGAGGTCCTGAAGCTCTCTTTGAGGCCATGGAGTTATTTCTCATGAATCACCAAGGCTGCCCTTTGATATAACGTGTATCTGTAAATTAATGATCATGTTCTGAACAATTCATGTGGCCTGTCTCAAAGAAACTACTAGGGAATAAGGAAAGGTGAATTGACATTCTACAGTGAAAGAGCTCAACTACAGGGCCTCAAACATCTGTTTTCTGGGAAGGTCTCAGGCCCCCGAGGTTCCTGAGGTCATCTGGGGATTGAGTAGGGGTTCTGTTTCTCAGAAAGAATGAGAGACAGAGATGCAGTCTTGCACCTAAACTCCCATCTCACCTAACTTCCCATCTAGTTCATTCTCAAAGGTCATTTGTGTGCTTACCTCATGGTGGTGTCACAGAAAGAACAAATCAGATTAATTTAGACTGGAAACCCATTATTTTCTACAGTTGTAATCATAACTCAAATCATGTGGTCATAAAAGTCTAACCATGGGGAGGAATTCCCATATCTCTTAACTTACTCTCCTGCCTGAGTAATGAGCTGAAGCCACACATTATGAATATTATGAATAACTTTATGCTTTGGTGACTCACTGCCTCCTGGGGTTGAGCAAGGAAGAATTTTTTTCATCTGCTACTTAAACTCGTATTCGCAAGCTGTAGGTAAGCTGAAGACAGTGACTCATCACCATATCCTTCCCTCCAAATATTTATTTATCTCATGTTCCTCATCATTCACTGCCATTGTGCCTGTAAAAATAGAAATTATTAATGTATATTTGCAACCTTTATTAGCTAAAACCCTAACACAAGTTCATGTTTCCTGATGATGAGACACTACATGAAATGCACAGAGATGTACTGTATATACATGTGATTTGCAAATAAATACAGACCCACTGTGGAAATTTCATCTAATTTGAATTGGATTTGAAAATATAAGGCCCTGAAAAAATGAGAATTTAAAAACTCAGATGCAATTCTGTGTTCTACAGCTGAAGATGCAAGCTGATCTATGGAGAGAGTAGAGACCCAGGGTTAGTAGAGTAGAAGTGTGCCTCTGCACCTTACCAGTGTGTGACCTTGGACAAATGATTTAACCGTCTAAGAGCAGGCTGTTAATCTGTACAGTGGGGATTATAATAATGTCAATCTTGTAGAGTGTTTGAGTTTATTAGATGAGACAATGCATTTAAATCTCTGGCACAGAACAAGTGCTTAACAGACATTAGCTAGTGTTATTATTTGCATTCCTTTTAGTTGATATTATAAAAGCAATAAAAATGTGACAGATCTTTGATTTTTTTTTTTTTAACCTCCAGGTAAGGCTAATCTATGTATATTGTACTTCTACTCCTTCTTTCCCTTATGTTCTTCTAAACAGATTACGAGGACTATGGGGACTATTGGAGAGGAGATTATGAAACAGAAGGGGGAAATGGCTATAACTATAGCCGCAACCAGTTGATTGAAGATGTGGACCGCATCTTTTTAGAGGTAATCGAAAAATTGTACCCAGAGACAGATGTAGGGCAGTGCACAGGAAGAAGGGAAGATGACCAAAGGCATTGTGGCTTGTTCTAACACACTGGTCAGCCATTCCCATGCCTCATAGTTATGTAATATTAGAGCTTAAAAACATTTTAAAGAATAACAGGGCAACTCCTACAGCTGATCAGAATTGCTCTACTTTCCTCCCCCTTTCAGCCACTAACCAGCAATTACCAACAGCAAGCTTATAAGAAGGAAAGATTATAGGAAGGGTCAGTCTTTTAGATTATAAAAAGGCATGGTCTTTGTGAACTACCTGGGCCAGCACTGTCTTCCTCAGTTAGCAGAGCCATTGGTTTTGCTTCCTTTTTCAGGACAATCAGTACTATTATTTCCTTGTCTTTGACTAAGGAAGTCTTTATAGGAAAGAAAGAGTCCCATGGACACTTCTTAATGTCTCCCTCTTCTTTCATTTTGATCCCCGCATTTTCTCCCTTACTCCTGTGCCTTCAGAGTTCTTATGTGTAGCTACTCTGTCTAGCTATAGTTGGGCAGAGCTATAAAAAATGGAAGCAGGACAAACATCTCCTCCCCACCAAAAAAAGAAGTGGGTAAAAGCTCTGAATAAGTACATCATTAAAGAAATGGAAAATAAGCAACTAAAGTATTATTAGGAAAATTAAAATTAAAACCATGATTAAAAACCACTACACACCCACTAGAATAGCTGTGATTAAAAAAGACTGACAGCCCAGCCAGCATGGCTCAGTGGTTGAGCATCAACCTATGATCCAGGAGATTGAGGTTCGATTCCCGGTTAGGGCACATGCCGGGGTTGTGGGCTCGATCGCCAGTAGGGGGCGTGCAGGAGGCAGCCAATCAATGATGACTTTCTCTTCATTGATGTTTCTTTCTCTCTCTCCCTCTCCCTTCTTCTCTCTGAAATCAATAAAAATATATTAAAAAATATATTGACAATACCAAGTGTTGAGGATATGAAGATACTGGAGCCCTCATACACTGCTGACAGAGGTGTCAAATGGTACACAGCCACTTTGAAAATAGTTTGACAATTTCTTAAAAGTTAAACACACACTTACCATATGACTAAGGTATTCCACTCTAAGTGTCTATAGAGAGAAATGAAAACATATATCCATATAAAGACTTACACATGAATGTCATGGAAACATTATTCATAATAGCCCCAAACTGGAAACAACCCAGTCATTTCACAACTGGTGACTTTTATCCATGAGATATTAAATGAAGCAAACTTTGATGTATTCATACAATGAAATGCTACTCAGTAATATAAAGGAATGAACTACTGATTCATGTAATAACATGGGTGAACCTAAAAAACATTATGCTAAGTGAAAGAAGCCAAACACAAAAGGTCACGTATTATATGATTTCATTTATATGAAATTTCCAGAATAGAAAAAACTATAGAGCAGAAATCAGTTCAGTGATTACCTGGGGCTGAGGGTAGGAGTGGCATAAACTACAAATGGACACAAGGAACTTTTGAGGGTAAGGAAATGTTACAAAACTGGGTGGTGGTAATGGTTACCCAACAATATAAATTTACTAAAAGTCATGAAACTATACACTTAAAGATGGGTGAATTTTATGGTATGTAAATGATATTTCAATCTGAAAACAAAGAAGTAGGGAGCATCTTAGAAATTAATATTTTTACATCTGCTTTCATTTTGGAACCTGTATTCCTCCAGGTGTGTTTATTGCTTTATACAATGGAGCTAGTTATCATCAGCATCTGGAAAGAAGGAATGCTTTCAAACTCTCCAGAATATTTGAGGGCAAAAGAAATTAGAATTTAGGGAAATTCTACTTGTCTAAAAAAGCTTCTATTTTTAGTGTTGAGGATTGGAAATCAGACCAGGCTTCTCTTAGTCTTAAATTTTCTTCCTGGGCCTTTCAGATTAAACCATTATATGAACATCTTCATGCTTATGTGAGGGCAAAGTTGATGAATACCTACCCTTCCCGTATCAGTCCGACTGGATGCCTCCCTGCCCATTTGCTTGGTAAGAAACTCCACAAATTCTCTGTGTACTTTGCTCTATGTTATTTCCACCAATAAAGTTGTTTTTTGGAGTGAGGCCTAACATAAAACTTTTAAAAAATTCTGTGAATGGAATTAGTAGCATTATATAAATCACATTTTGAAAGCACTGTCTTCAATAGAAAAGTCATTTAAAAATCGTTCTGTATTGCATTACTTTATATTGTACATAAACAGTTATTATGTTGGCTACAATCCAAAGGCTAAAAGGGTGATTTAAAATAACTAGAGAAGGAACTCCAAGTTCAAATGAGGGTGTAAATGGAGGAAAATAAGTCTTGCTATTCAAGTTGGTTTGCTAAGCTCTTGAGGTGGAATTTGGGGTTTTAGTATCATATTGTCAGAGGAAAGAAGCTTGGTAGGCTGGAGGTAGTTAGCCATGAGAGAAAGGCTTCCTAGAATTAAGGTATAGCCTGAGTTAAAACTTAATAAGTTCATTCTTAACTGTAGCAATTACTTTCTAGAAAGTACTTGGTTTGGAATCATATAAGAAATGAATGAAGTCTTCATCATGAAGGAAGATGTTTAGCTTAGGAGAAAAATCAGTCTTCCAAAACTTTGGATCCTGCCATGGAGCCTTTGTAGACCATGAAAGACCTAGCACCCTTTATTGAACCTGCTAATTTTCCTCCAGCAAGTTGGTATCCTCCGCTTCCTTCTCCATTTCCCTAGAAGCTGAGGCCAAATAAAATGCATGTGTTTGAAAAGTTCATATCATGTATACATAGCATTCCTACTACAGTTAAGCTAAGTTACTGGCAGCTAATTCTCCTCCAAGGCCAAGCCTCTCTCAGCAGGAGAGAATATGGGCAAAGGACCTATGGAGACTTTTTATTCTAAAGCAATATATAAATACTCTCTATAATGTCTTTGGCAGGAGTCCTTCAGTAACTAAGTTACTGCTTAAAACTGCCTGGTATGATGTGTCTTTTTCTTCCTTCCAAGGTAGACTATTCTATTGCTTCATGGCACTAATTATAAGAAAGTTCCACACGTTGTGTGGAACTGAATCAACACCCCCTAATGCCTTCCATTCATTACACCTAATTCCATGTTATGAGGTTACCTGAGGTATATCCATTTTCTTTTACAAGATGGCCTTCCAGATATTTGTAAATAACCATCATAGAAGACATAACATAGTACTTGGCACAAGAGTATGTGCTCAATATATTTGTGTGGGTATTATTGTTATCAACATGTATACACTGTTTTCTTATTTTAATTTAAATATCCTGCACAGAATTTTTTAACCATTCTTTAAAATGTCACTTTTCTAATGTTCTCCTTGGGACAAGCTATCCTTTGTTGATGTCGCTCTTCAAATATCATGCTCAGAACTGAACAGCTATTTCAGATGAGGTTTAACCAATACAGAGTAAAGATGGTACTATGGATTTCTTTGTTTGAAACACTATAATTCTATTCATTTAGGTTAAGGTCACATTTGGGTTTTGAAAGCAATGTCATACTGTTTGTTGGGTCCCTTTTGATCTTTTACATGTGGACTATATTTCAGCCTGATGTCACACATCACATAGTTCCATAGTGGTTAGATATATTTTTATTTAAAAACATGAGTTCATTGGGGTATTCTTTGTGTAGTTACATTGCCCTATTTGGTGTCAAGATTCTGGTCCTGCTATTAGATTGACTTTTTCTAGATCCATCTTCCCTTTTATGGTCTAGCCTTGAAATCAAATTTAACATTTATTTGAGATGCTTAACATTTAACTGAGATGCAGTTAAATGTATTTCTATATTATAGTAATAAAAGTGAAACTTAGTCACTAGTTAATAGAGATTCCTGAATGATGATCCTATGTGAGTTCCCTTGAATCCAACATTAGGGATTACTAATAGTTTAATTTGTAATATTTTGCCCCTTGGATGGTGGATTATATGAATATATTTCTAATCTATATTAGCTATGATGTTCCATTAATTTAACAAATTGTGCCTTTGAACTTTAATTTTAAATGGGAGAAACTAGGATGATTTCCTAACAAGTTTTGCCTAACCAAATAATCTTCTGCCATGTTAACTTTTTAGAGGAGAGGGAAAAAGAAGGGAGTATTGAAACCTTAAAATAAGAGAAGAGAAAAAGAGGTAGTGAAAAGGAAGCACAGAAACTAGATTAAATCTAAACTATTATGTGGCCTGTTTATCAATCTTACCTCATGCACTATGTAAATATCAGGTCTATACTTCTGCTGTCTTTTTCATATATTAACAAAATCTTTTCTTTGAATAGGTGATATGTGGGGTAGATTTTGGACAAATCTCTACAATGTGACAGTCCCCTTTGAACACAAACCAAACATAGATGTTACGGATGAAATGCAGAAACAGGTAGGAAGAAGAGGCCTTGAAAACCAAATCTAAATCCTCAACTTTATTTCTTTTTAGGCCATCTTTCTTTTTCTATCTGTTGTATATGAAACTGTATAAATAAAAATTTTCAAGCTAACTTAGTTTTATTCCTTATGTAGCTATCTTTTTGTGGAAAAGTGGTTTATAATGTCAATGACATCAAGTACCTTGAATAACAGGTAGGGTATCGATTCTACTGAGAGATATTAAAAATAGAGAGGACCTAAGTTTCCCATTAAGCAGTGAGATGTGGAATTATCAACTGGTTGGCCGAACTCTTTCCAAAGTTAGTAATTACTAAGTAATCAGTCAGTAATCTCTATGAATGGTGGAAAAAGGGATATCATTAGAAGATTTTGCATATTTAAAATTTGTTATTGTTAAAAATATTATAGGAGTCTTTAAAATAATTTTTAAATTTCCTTTCTCTTGCCATCTTGGTATAATTGTTTAAATTCTTTGTGTTCTCTTCCATTGGTGACATTATAATATATTATTAAATTCAGATACTAGTCTATATTTTTGGGAAAATTCATAGTCATACTTCTATTGGCTGTATAAAATTTCTTCAGATAGTTATACCATAATTTACATTTTAGCATTGCTGGACTTTTTTGGCTTGTTAATAGTTTTAAATCTATAAGCAGCAATGCAATGAACATCTTCACATACATAACATACTCCTGGGAAAACTCCACAGCTGAATAAAAACATGAAGCTGTAAGGGTCCCAGACTCCTGCGGCTGTTCTAACCCTATTTTGTAGTTGAGCAGCAGCAGAGGCCTACCTTTATGTCCCCCCTTAACCTATCTATAGTGTTTTTACACCCTCCATATCTCCTAATGTTATCTTTACAGTAAACCTATGAGACTATCAAGACAGGTATTGTGATAGTTCCATGTTATAGGTCAGAGAACTGAGGCTGAGGTAAACGACTTGCCCAAGTCACAAAGACAGTCAGTGGCAACTAAAGTTTGAACTCAGAGCTCCTAATATTTCCAGTGTTATTTTCTATTCATTCAATTTTTAATGATCCGATATTAACTGTTCTTACTAGTCTACACTGTTTTGGTATACATTCATTCTGCTCAAGAATGCCATACTAAAAACCAATATTGCCTGACATTAAGCCTTTATAGGTCAATAGTTTAAAAAAGCCATAGTGTCATATCCTGTTTAATATCCCCAGGGCTGACATAGGAGAAAAACCAGACTTGGCTGGTCTTGGAGATCAGAGGAAGTTTTCTGTATTACTAGAAGTGATTCATGAAGTATCTGCCAATTACACAAACTTAGTTTCTTGATGTGGGCCTTATCTCCAAAGAAAAGTCAGCTCTAGGGAAACTGGTTCCCAGAAGAGTTTGCTGGATGGGAGACTACTGCTGCCTCTGTCTGGTTCCAGAATATTCTGAACTTTGGATTCCCATACAGACTATAAGCCAAGGCCCAACTACGCATTTGCTACTGAGTCACATGCAGGCCTTTTTGGCTCCAAAAGCCTATGACTTCATGCCCACCTTAATGTTTATGTCTTCCACTGAGCCTAATACCAGGGTCTTATTCCTTGAAGGAGCTCAATCAATGATTGTTGGCTTGAGTTAAATAGTTTTTAGGAAAGAGGCCATTGTTGTTTATGTTATGCTTGGAATATAAAGAATAAAGACGAAAATACATCACACATAATGTCATCCAGTCTGTGAATATTTTTGTGCATTTCCTCATCAAGATTATATACTATATAAGTGGTTTACATATTCTTACTAATTTATTATACCTTCCATTTTTGCAAAGTCATCATATTTATTTAACCATTTTAGTAGTTGCTTCTACTTTTTCCTTATTAAAAATCATTTTACATGTTGTACACCTTAAATTTACACAATGTTATATGTAAAATATATTTCAATTTAAAACAGTAATAATCAGAAAATAATTTTAAATTTAATTCTTTGACCTAATTTCTGAGAAGTTCCTAGGTTAGTTCTCTAGAGACAGGATTACACATTTCACCAAAATTACCATCCAGAAAGTTTATACCTATGTGCATATCCAACAGAAAGAATGCTATTGTTTTAATGCTAGAATTAAATGCTATTCTTTTCCCCCCCCCCAGTCCTGGAGTGCAGAGAAGATATTCAAAGAAGCTGAGAAGTTTTATGTGTCTGTTGGCCTTCCTAATATGACTGAAGGATTCTGGAATAACTCCATGCTAACTGAGCCAGGCGATGGTCGGAAAGTAGTCTGCCACCCCACAGCTTGGGACCTGGGGAAAGGTGACTTCAGGTAGGGAGGCTGATAACAGCTGATACCAAAATGGGAGACAATGGAGGCACAGAAGAGGATGAGTTTAGATCCCTTCTGTGCTTCTCTGAGCACAGAAAACATGAATGAACTTCCCTTTAACGAAGGCTGCGAGTCCATGAGAGTACATCTGGATTTTCCCAGGAAAAGGGGATTGTCAGCAGGCCCTAACTTGAACCTTTAGATGATTTGCCTCATTTGAAATAATATGCACCCATTAGAGTTGCATGGTCATGGGCATAGTGGTGCCCTCATTAGGAAAGTTTGGGTGCTAAGATTTGTGGAAGGCGGATATGTGAATCAGGCATTGATCCTCCCCTCCACACGAGTGAGACAGGACAGGTGAGTAAATAAGCTGGGCTAAAAGAAAGTGGTGCATGTCATAAGAGAAACAGAATACTCAGTGGGGGAATTGGAAGAGAACTGACCACACCGGAAATAGCAGGTAGGATCGGACAGGGCTTTTCAGGTGGCATTTGAATTGTGCTTAAAAGACAAGAAGGGTTCGGACAGACAGAGCTGGGAGGAGTCCACTAGGCTGCCAGAAGAGTAGGATTAAAGGCAGAGAGGCAGGATATGGCAGCCAAATTAGACTGGACTAGAATAAAGGGCCTGTGAGGAATGGTCTGCGCTAGGGCATAATGAGCACAGCCTTTTGAATCCCAGGGGCCACTTAATGACTCGTCAACCTTCTTGCGCTTCAGCTTTCTTATGTATAAAATGGAATAGTAATTCTCAATTTGCAGGTTTGTGAGTGTCTTAGGTTGGATCCCCTAGGTTGAGATGGAGATTCTTGTGCAAGCTCTGTGTTGAGGGAGAGCTCTCAGGCAAAGGAGAATGAAGGCAGGCAGGTGGGGCTGCGGAAGGAGCTGAGTAAGGATGTGGTCTCAGCTGGGGGCGGGCCTCAGCCTCATCCCACAGGGCTCTCTGCAGCATGATTTGTACCTGAGTTGGTCACACCCTGAGACAAGGTGTATGTAATGGACAAATCTGTACTCCCATGTCAGTCACTCACTGACTGTGGACTGCCTGAGTGTGTGCACGGGGCATAACCTCCCGGTGGAGGCACCTCCCGTGCAGCCAAAGCCAGTGAAGAAGGGAGCAACAATTGGCCTTTCAAGGCTATGCCTCAGGCAGCTAGGAGATGGGTGGGTGTGCCTGGTAAAGTAGATCTGGGCAGGACCCCAGCAGCATCCACTAGAGTAGCAGTTGACAATCCTTTCCTGTAAAGGCTAAGATAGTAAATAGTTAGGGTTTTACAGGTCTCTGTTGCAACAGCCCTAGATAACACATAAACAAATGGGTGTGACTGTGCCAATAAAGTCTTACTTATCAAAACAGGTGGTCAGCCCCAGGCCATATTTTACTGACTCCAGTACTAGAGTGAGGCTTAAAAATAAGTATATGGAAGTTTCCTAGCACAGGGTCTTACATATTAGTAGACACTATATATACAGTAGCTATTCTTATCATTGTTTCAAAAGAGAATGGAGAAAAACCAGGTTAGAAAAGCAAGTCATGTTGAGATGTATAAAGAAGGTTGAGTTTATTCTTAAGCAGTGGGGAGTCCAAAAGATATTCATCAGGGAGATGATATGGTCAGAGGGGTAAGAAAATTAATTTGAGACCCTACTGAAATATGACCCCCTACGTTCACCTGAATAAAATTGCTCTTGCCAAGTTGAAAAGGACCACTACCTAATTGCCAAATGCAGTCCTTATTTCATTGGGCCACAGCGGCATTAGATAACATTTACAAGTTGTCTTTGAAATGCTATTTTTCATTGGCCTCTGCATTGTCATCCTCTTCTGGACTTCTTTGACTTCTCTCTCCATCTCCTTCAAACCATCTTTATCTCCCCACTCTGTACATACTGGGACCTCCTAGGGCTTTGTCTTTGGCCTTCCTTTTCTTGCCATTCTACCTATACCTGCTCCATGGGCCACCACATCCACTCGCTGACTCACAGGCTAATTATTCCCAACAGTCAATTTCCAGCCCCTTCTCCAACTACTTCTCTATTTTGACTATACCAAATTGCTTGCAGTGTCCTAAATGGCACTTTTTTTTTTCTTAAGTCTTTCTTACTGAGCACCTCCAGGAATGTCAACCTCTTGTCCCTCCCTGCCGTCTACCTGGGAAACTTCTGCATGCTGATCAAGGTCCAGTGTGATTATTGCATCCTCAGTTATGCCCTTAGTAAATCTGGGACACTGTGCCTACATTCACTCATTGTTATGTCCAAAGCATGCCTACTGATCACTTATAGAGTACTTGTCTCAGAGTTTTTGTAGTAGAAGACCCTGCTTATTTTTCTTTCTGTTAGCTTGTGAGCAGGAGAACAGGATTTAGCACCTACTATAGTTTCTAGGACCTAAAAGGTAGGTCCCCAAGATTCATTGGTGAATGAATCTTGTAAAGATGATCCATGCTACCAAACTCCCATACAACTCTATTGTGATGATTAAATGAAATTCAATGAGTTTCATTTTAATTTTAATCTTCTCCATTTATGTGCAGGATCAAGATGTGCACAAAGGTGACAATGGACGACTTCCTGACAGCCCATCATGAGATGGGACATATCCAGTATGACATGGCATATTCCACACAACCCTACCTACTAAGAAATGGAGCTAATGAAGGGTTCCATGAAGCTGTTGGGGAAGTCATGTCACTTTCTGTAGCTACACCTAAGCATCTGAAAGGCATGGGTCTTCTGTCGCATGATTTTTCTGAAGACGATGGTACAGACATTTTTTCATGACTTGTTTTGGGGATTCTTTAGTCTAATGTAGAGAAAGATATTTATTATCATGCATAGGATACATTTAATTTTTGCCACATAAAGCATAAGGTATTTATGGGTAACTGAAAATTGCTACTGGTAAAAAAAAAAATTAAGTATTTATCATGACATGCCAATTTGTGATTTTGTATGTTTGAAGAGGGCAGAAGAGAAGGTAACTGAATGAATGGTCTTGGGACTCTAAGAAACACCTAACAAGAGATTTTTAAAATGATGCTAAAACAGGCCCACAGAACTGAAATGACTTATCTAAGGTTACCTAGCTAATTAGTGTTAGACTTCTGACTAGATCCTTCTGGATCTAGGTAAAAACTTCCCAAAATGTTAGAGGGAACAAATTCTAAAAAACATTTTGCAGAGGAAGCAAACTGAAGACAAGAGAGGAAAAGTAACCAGGCCAAGGTAAAAAAGCAATGTAGCCAAACCAGAACCAGATCCCTAATCTAAAGCTTTTCCCATAATATTATGCAAAGTAAAAGATACTGCAGGAAGCATGCATTTGCTCCTGTAACATCCCTTCAGATCCATGCTATTTTTCAACATCTTTGCTTGAGGTTGCCTGTTTATCTTTGGATGGCTTAGACTTGACAGAACAGGACAAATGTTCACAAGATCCAGATTCTTCAGTGAGGATGCCATGGCTTTTGATTCTTCCTTGTAGAAGAAAGACACTTAGAGCCAAATATGTTCTTTTCTTTTAAGTATTTCTGTCCTCTCATTTTAGTTATTTGAGACATGAACATCAGCTCCGCTGGCTGGAAGTTTTGGTCAATGAGGTCGTCATGAGCTCCATTCTTGTGCGGGCAATTCACTTTGCCTTGATTTCTCGCTCTAGAGACCTTAGTGATCTCATGAGAGACTGGGAGTAGGTCAGCGTAAAGCCATCATTATGTCTGAAAAGTTACCATAAGCAGACCCAGTGGGCAGGAGACGAGTAGAGACATCCTCCCATGAAGGGAGCAACAAAGGAAAGGGAGTTCACAATAACCACGCCTGTTTCCTAATTTTAAAATATCATTCTCAAGTGAATTAATAGACAATTATTTGTTTTATCATTAAAAGAAATATTCCCTGGCAGCAAGAAAAGATGGTTGAATCACAAAGACAGTGCTAAACACGGTTAAACCACGGGTTGGAAAAACTCCTCTTCTTTTCTTGGCTCTGCCCCTGACTGGTGAATGATGTTAAACAAATAAGTTCTTTCATTGCTTCTCTCCCTCTCTCCCAATCTCTCTCTCCATTTCTTCTTCCAAAAATATTTATTGAGCACATACTATGTGCAAGAGATATTTCTAGACACTAGAGATAGAGTGGTATGCCGAATAGATAATATACCCCTGGTTACATTTCAGTGAGCTTCATTTGTGCACTGGAATGAGTTCTACTGCTTTTTTACATCACTAATAAAGGATAAATGAAATAACATAATTTTTTAAAGCATTTTAAACTCAGATAAGGAAAATGTCAGTACATTTGTAGCACATTGTACTTCTGATTATTCAGTAGATGGTTTCCTCTAAGGAGGTCCTTGTTTGTTTGTTTGTTTGTTTGTTTGTTTGTTTGTTTGTTTGTTTTATTGCCTGGTTTGCTGGCTTTTGGCCACATCTGTTTATTATTTGTTTATTTAACAAAAACAGAGGGCATCATGTGGCAGACACTAGGCTAGATATACAGTCTTGAATGAAGCCTCACCAGTCACTGCCTTCGTGGAACTTACAAAAATAAACAGCATGACTGGGAAAGTAGATGATATAGTTACTTGTGGATTTATCTTATCGATTCTAAGACTTCACTCTATTCCAAATACCTTAGCTGAGAAAATGAATATTTACATATTATTATGTCCACTGTCACTATTTCTCATGTAATCATCCTTATAGTAACTATATCTTGGGGAGTATTTCGAGATTAGGAAATTATCCATCACAAACCATCTGTCATCCTCATTTTGATATTTATCCTTTCCATTTTACTTTCAGAAACAGACATAAACTTCCTACTCAAACAAGCCCTTACTATTGTTGGAACCCTGCCGTTCACTTACATGTTAGAAAAGTGGAGGTGGATGGTCTTCAGGGGTGAAATTCCTAAGGAGCAGTGGATGAAAAAGTGGTGGGAGATGAAGTAAGTCCATGAATATGCAGTCGGCGAAACGGGCTCTCAGGAGTTTGCTGTTTACTTGAAAGTGTTTGGCTGGTAGTTTGCTTGATAAGACATCTTTTAAGGGTTGCTTTTCTTTCCCTGGCTCACTCCCTCGTTCTTTTGCCAATGTTTCCTGGGGTCATTTCTCAGGCCCTTGTCTGCTTCCGTGGTAACCCAGTCTAAAACAACCAGGATTGGGGTTCTCAGAGAATTCTTTATAGTAAAAACAAGTTGGATTTCAACAGTTAAATCTTGAGATCTGCTGAGGTGGGTCCAAACACGTGAAAATGAGAGAGAAGTGCATTTAGGCTAGGGAAATGCCATTACCAGACACAACACACACACACACACACACACACACACACACACACACACACACAGCACAGCACAACCATCACCATCACCACCATCACCACCACTAACAACACGTATAAATCGCTTCCATTGTTTTCGCGGGGACGGAGGGGGCTTGGTTTTTTTTTCTTCTTTTTTTCTTTTTATAAATGTCTTTGTTGATTTCTGAGAGAGGAAGGGAGAGTAAGAGAGAGAGATAGAAACATCAATGATGAGAGAGTCATTGATTGGCTGCCTCCTGCATGCCCCCCACTGGGGATGGAGCCCACGACCCTGGTATGTGCCCTGACTAGGGACTGAACCTCGATCTCCTGGATCATAAGTTGATGCTCAACTGCTGAGCCACACCGGCCAGGCTGCTTCCATTTTTTTTAACGTCTTTATTTGGGTGCTCTCTCCTCAGATAACATTTTTTTGGCTCTTTCCTCCACCCAAGCAGAATCAGTTGATACAACTTCTCACACTGTCTTGTTAAGTGTTTGGTCACCCATTAAACTGTGATATTATTTAGGAAGTGATCAATTTATTCATGGAATTTATTCTTTTAAACAGAAATATTGATTGCACATTTTAGGCAAAGCCCTGGGGATCTAATGCTGACCATTTCAGATTTTATCCTTGACTTCAAAGAACTTTAGTCTATGGAGAGATGTGGAAAATGAAACCACTGCAACATGTTGTGTTGTGATGGGAAGGAATAGGGATCCACAAACAGCCAAGTGGAGATCCAAGGCCCAGTCTAATGGGTCAGATGAAGAGAAGCTTCCAAGCTGAGCTCCAAGAAAGGTGTGGGAGTTAACCAGGTGCATGTAGAGGGGAATAGAGAGAATTCCAAGCTAGAGAGAGCCTGGCATGTTTGGGCAACAGATGATGATCCCTTTCAATAGTTTCAGCACTACATTATTTGTCACTGTTTCTCAGTGCCTTACACAGCACCTGACACATCCCGATATGAAATAAATGGGTTTTAGATGAAAGATTACAAAAGAAGACAGGAAGGAAGGCAGGGCAGAGGGGCAAAAGGAAGGAAAGAGGAAAGGAAGGAAGGAAAGAAGGAAGGAAAGAAGGAAGGGAAATATTTTCTCCACTATTAGTGAGACTCCTATCGATGTCTTTTTTGTTTTTATTTTTCCTTTTTGTAGAGAAGATCTACCTATGTATGATTCAGCCCCATATCCATAAGTTTAAGTCAGTGCCACTTTTCTGCCAAAATTGTCTTTGTTAACATAAATTCAACTTGGGATTTCTAGCATTTGAGTATTACTGAAATTGTGTTTATAATGATCCCACAATCAGATAGGACAAATGTATTAAGTTTAAATAATGCCAAATGCATGATTGCCCTATTTTTTTTCTAAATGAATTATTTTTTTTTTATTCCTTGTTGTTTATTTCTTCTTTAAAAATTTATCTTTATTGTTGAAAGCATTACAGATGTCCCCCTTTTTCCCCATTGACTCCTTTTAGTTTGTTTCTAAAGGTACATGGAATCAAACCCTTAAAATGGTTCATTCATGCGTTAATTACTCCGTTCATTGAAGAAATACACATGATGTCCTTCCTTAGCATTAGACACTATGTTTGACACTGCAGCTATAGAGATGACCAAGACACAGCCCTGCCCTCTAGGAGTTGCAGTCTCCAGGGGAAGAAGGAGCTGTACGTGAATAATTATAAAATGGAGAGAGAAATGGCAAAGGAGGCACAGCTAGAGAAGGCTAAGGGTGCTGGAGAGGTTCACTGTGTTGCCAGGTGGGTGGGAACAGGGGCAGGCCTCAAAGATGGGGACATTTGAGCTAGCCTTGAGGAATAAGTAAGATCTCAATTTTACAAAATTCTGTGTGCACATAAACTGTGGTGCCAGAGAGGAATTATTAGGAGTTTCACTGTGTTTTTGACCATGCAATGCACTTTATTAAAGTGGTGTTTTGAAGACACAATTATCTTCTAATGGTATAGTCTGGCTAAAGTGAAAAAGAAGGAGATAACCACATAATGGGCTGTAGTCTGTCATTTTTGGCACTGTTTCTATTTCACCTGACAACCAATTCTAGTATAAATACACTGGCTGATGAAATGGCACTGACTGTACCTTCTCATGGTGAGTGGCCCACAACTAATGTATCTTCTTTTTTCCCCAAAGGCGAGATATAGTCGGGGTGGTGGAACCTGTGCCGCATGATGAAACATACTGTGACCCTGCATCTCTCTTCCATGTTGCTAATGATTACTCATTCATCCGGTAAATTACAGTTTCTTCTCACTGTTTAACTTGTAGGGTCTGTGGACAGCTGTACTAATGGCAGAGAAATAGGGATCTATGAAGCAATGGCTAGAATTTCTCTTTCTGTCTCCACCCACATCCCCCCTAATACCTCAAAATAGATGATCAATTTCCATTCCATTTAACTCAACACAACTTATTGGGTTATATAAAATGGTGTGAGATCTTTTCTCTTCCATCAAGGAATTTATAGTATCCTTGAGATAAAAACAAACAAGTATTTTTGTTTGCCTTCTTGTTACTGGCAGAGTTCAGAGTGATTGTAATAGAAAGACCATTTGTAACATGAAGTGCAAAAACCTATGTTCTTCACCTGTTAGCCCCAGATCTTGAATTTGCTGAGCCTCAGTTTCTTTATTTGTACATAGGAGATAATATTATTGACCTGCCATAAGGATTGATTGGTAACATTTATTTGAAAGGGCTATTAGTCTGTAAAACACAATACAAATGTGAGCTAACATTTAACAAAACAATATTGCCTTTTTTATCAGCTGATACAGAAATGCAAGTAGGTTATGATGAGTCTGTAAGGGTTCATGTTTGGATCTTTCTGGGGAAAGAGGTTTGATGAGTATCTCTTTGATTACTAGGGCCTCAGAATTTAAATATATGCCTCAATCTATGACTCTACCACAGTAACTAAACATGGGCCTGCTTGTTTTGTTTCTTGGTCTCTTTTACAGTTATTTCACAAGGACCATTTTTGAATTCCAGTTTCAAGAAGCCCTCTGTCAAACAGCTAAACATGAAGGTCCCCTGCATAAATGTGATATCTCAAATTCCACGGATGCTGGGAATAAGCTGCTGTAAGAAATGTTCAAAATGTTGAACCTCTCCTACTATCCAAAATTACTCATTTCAATGCCTAGGTTTAAATTTGATTTCTTTCTTCTAAAAAGAAAAAATTTCACCTCAGAATGTCCTCACCCACTAATTAAATGTTTATTTTGTGGTCACACAAGGACCTAGACCATGTGATGCCTGAACAAGCCACGTCCTTCCTCCAAGTCATTACTACAGAGTTCCCTTTGTAGTAATTGGAAGGGAGAAGAGATTGAAGGATGAATACATCCATTAACATGCCTTATTTTCTTATCTGCCAGGAGCAAACTTACCTAGCCAAAGAGGAGAAACCATAGATCATACATGTAAATATATGTACAATTGAAATCCCTCAAAAGGCCCTGAACTTACCCCACCCTTTTTTTCATGTAGCCAAATGCTGAAACTTGGAAAATCAGAACCCTGGACCTCAGCACTGGAGAAGATTGTAGGAACAAAGAAAATGGATGCAAAACCACTGCTCAACTACTTTGAGCCTTTGTTTACCTGGCTGAAAAAACAGAATGGGGATTCTGTGGGATGGCGCTCTGACTGGAGTCCATGTGAGTTCACTGAGTAGGCACATATCAAATCGCTCTCTCTCTGCTCCTCCTAGTCTTCTCTGGCCCCAGTCTCATGGGGCTGTGACACAGCAGAGTATGTTCTTACTCCATGCAGACCCTGCTTCTTACTGCTATGGTGGCAACTGCCATTTTATTGGGGAGGAAACTCTTTCTTGAGTACATACTATGTACAGGGAAAACTACCCCCCTCCTGGTTTGTTAGCTTGATATTTAAAATAAAAGAGTATAATAGCCCCCAACCCACTGTAATCTATCCTGTTCTTCAAAGACAATAAAGATTAATAATGATTTTTAGTAAAGAAATTATCAATATTTACATCATTATGTCTGCAGAGCCAAGTAATATACTATTTTATATCCTTTATTTTGTGGAAGGTGAAAGAGTAGGCAGAAGTGCGTGTCTAAAACTGACCAACAAAGAAATAACAATATAAACAAATTGTTTATAAATATAAAAGTAATTGTCAGAAAAAAGAGTTAATTCAAGAAAGAAGACATAAAATCCAGGAGGCAGTGGATTCAACCCAGAAAAGCAGCAAAGGGCTGAAATTGAAAAGAATAGATATATTGGAATAATTGGTATCTTCTCTCCACCCCTGGGCTGTACCTGAATCCCAAGCCTCTCTGGGATTCTCTGGGACTTTTAAGGTCTGCACTGCCTCTGTGTACACATCAGGCCATGGCTTCCTGACCCTTGAGAAAGCGCTTACCACTCCTCCATCACTTCTCATTTTCCAGAAGTGTGTTTATATCTTTTTAAAAATTCCTTTACTATCATTTTAGTGGGATGTTCGGAGGGGAAGGAAAGAAACACACATGGTTAATCTATCATTGTAACAACAGTCTGTGATTTCTCTTTAATCAGATGCTGATCAAAGCATCAAAGTGAGGATAAGCCTAAAATCAGCTCTTGGAGACAAAGCAGTGAGTATTCTGGGCAGTGCGCCCATGACTTTTCAGTGCACCCCCTTAAGTAGGACACAGTAAGCCCATTCCAGTGCAGTCAACTACTTGATGAGAGCTCACATGGTTCTCTTAGGAACTACAAGTCCCAGATTCTGCCCTTTGGCTTTTGTTTGTTTACTTTCAGTAACACATTCCTTATTGGATTGACTATGTCTACTCTTTCCTTGTTACTCTGAAGGTGTTATGAAGACCAATGAGAAAATATCCAAAAAAATATCAAATACCCACCCTTACAATTGACTTTTATCACCATTACTTGTATTTGAGGAGGAGAACATGGTTATATTTTGAGAGATTGTTTTTAGAAGTAATGTAGGGAGCTTTGTTTTGTTTTAGTCAATCATCTATATCCTGGAAGCTTATTAAAAATGCAGAATCTTAGGCCCCAGCCATGGATCTGCCTCATCAGAACCTACATTTGAACAAGTCCCTAGGTCATTCGTATACACAATAAAGACAGGGACGTGCTGATTTAGAACACTTTCTCAAACCTGGCTGCACATTGGAGTCAGATGGGATGTTTTGAAACTATTAATGCTTGAGTCCCACTTGCAGAGATTCTGACTTAATTGCTCTGGGGTGTGGCATCAAGAGTTGGGCATCAAGTGTTTTGAAGTGATTTTGATTACAGCGAAGTTGGAGAACCACTGATGTAGAGGTGCATTTTGGGAATAACAAAATGTTTTACAGAAAAGCATATTACTTACACCCTCTTGTGAGTTATTTTAATCAGCTAGTGTTTTCTTCTCAACACCTGTGTCAGGTTATCTAGTCTGAAGAAGTAGTGGCTTTGGTTGGGAAAGAGGAGAATGTTGTCTCAGGCAGGTGGGGATCAAAGGCCTGGGTGGGGGAATGGCACCCTGAAGACTGCAGGATTAGAGGACAATCTGGGACTATTGGATAAAACAGTCCAAATTGCTGTAGTAAATTGTTATTTTCACTGGATAGATCCAAAGATTACATTTCTATCCCCTTACTTTGCCTGGGAGGTTAAATATTATCCACGACTCCACATTAGTTGTAGTGTAATTTTCATAAATAAGACATCCAAATATAAGTAACATAGTAGGAGTAAAAATGAACATTTAAAAAAGAAATAATGAAGATGGAGATGTATCACTTTCAAACCCTAAAAGATCAACTTCCTATTTCTTAACAATCATTAAGTGTCTCTGGGATTCTTTCTCTGCCTGTCATTATTAGCTCTCCCTTGACCTAATAAATTTTAATCACTTTAAAGTTTCCAGCAGATCAGGTTCCTTTTCAATTATCTTCTTCTTTTTTTTTTTAAACATCTGTCCCATGTGCTCTTTCCATGCAGTGAGGTATTGGTAAGTAGTCTTCAGAGGGTTTGAACATTCTGAGGCTGATTCACTGAGCAAAAGCCTCCTCTAATGAGACCAGAACCATACTTCTAGCACATCTACTACACATCAGGGCTACAATGTCTGTCCAGTTCAAGCTATTTCATGGCAAAGTTCAGTTGGATCTTTTGAGAACTCATCCTATATACCAAAGAACTTATATGCATGTATGCTTAACCCATGGACACAGAGAATAGTGCAGTGAAGGCCTGGGGAGGGGGCGGGAGTGGGGTGGAGAGTGT